AAATGTTCCCCTCGATGTTCCCCTCACGTTATTGGAGGTTGTGTTTGTAGTTTCCAGTCTCCACACCTACTCCTTTGAACGCCTTTCAGCGTTCAGCTTCCTTCCAGCTCGATCTTAGGTTTCAATATGGCCAAAACGTGGATGAGAGTTGTGCTTCTATTTCTTTCAGTGTTTCTGTCAGAAATAATCGCATATACATCTGGTGAGTATTATCTGTTAATATTCTGACATTGAAATATTGCTATAAGCACGTAGAGAATAAATTTCATTTGCGAAGACCGAGTGGGTATAGGGAGCTACTGACAATATATAAACAAATTGTAGCTTCTGCATTTCAAGATTTCGTTTATTTCTTGTCTTCTGCGATGGAAAAGACTGTAGTAATTCAGATGTGTTTCGGAGTGTACTAGTTATAGAGTTATCATTGTCCCTCTCTGTTCCTAGCTTAATTGCAGCTGCTATTTAAGCTGCCGGAAAAATTATTGCAGGTGGATTCTCGTGAATAGTTCCCAAACTGAAAAGATCGAAGTCACATGTCAAGCTTTCACTGTTTCTTTTCCATGAAACACTGAATGAAGAGAGTGATCGGCCGAGAAGCCACGAGGTTTTTCCATCTTCTTTTTGTTGTATTTCTCCTAATTTTAGGTCGATCGCCAACCGAAATGTTTGTTTTATTTAGCTCGTGAGACCATGTTTCATTACCTAAAGCTACAGTAGGTCGGAGAAGAGATCGTATCAGTGAAAACCGCAGCAGAGTCAAATCATTATTGGGTATTTAATAATTGTAGAGGAAACGCCGTCACCAAAAAAATGTTTCAGTAACGGGAAGTTTCCAGAACTCGTTTATACACACCAATAGTGATGAATAATTGATGTCATACATGTCTTCTACAGACAGTCAATACATATCGAAGATTAGGCAAACCTAGTGAAATACTGGGATCTCATTGCCACTCAAAAATCTCATTACTTGCATGCTGCAAAATTGCACAATTAAAGACTAGACTCTGGCCCTGTCCAGCCCCACAAGTAGGTAAAAGCTTACATTTAACATACATACAGTCGAACCCCAGGGGAATTGAAAAATAGTTTGTAATAGGCCTAGGGGGAGTTCAAAATAACCAATAGTAAATGACTGAAGGACAAATCTAAGGGAAATGGTTTTGAGTTCGAAATAACACATTTGGAAATAACCACGTTCGAATTAGCGGGGTCCAACTGTACATACATACTCTACATACGTACTGTATATACATTTTATTGAAGCTCCCTTTACAGTTCAGCCACAATGTTCTACAGTAAAAATCAAAATGTTACATTCATATAAATATGATTAATATTCACTTTAAGAGATGCCAATGTAAAAAAACTTTGAAAATATTTGCTGAGGTCGCCAACTTCACCTTCCCAGGGCCTCTCAACCCTGAGTCATTACTAAAATTAGAGCTTCGCAAATTCAAATTATCACAAAAATTCCCTTTAAAAATGCCAAAATTGGCCTAAATGAGTGTGAAAAATGTACTTTACTCGCTTTCCTTCTTATCCGGAAGATTTGGTGACCTATATGGGAACTTGCTCTGCCGAGCTGTATCCAAGAGACTCCCGGGAATCCGGGAGAGTTATCATACTGTATATGGCATGCAAGCATTTGGGTCAGTTTAGTCCATAGATCTGTAACAAGATCTATAACATGGTAACAAAATCTTTTTGAGTCCATAACCTTGATGATATGATGTTAAAATTATAAAATTAATCAGTTTGAAATTTGAGTCTGAGTTTGCATTATCAATTTACCTATAGCCTTTATTCGTCCAAGTTTTTGGGGAAAACGTTGTTGTTTCAGGATGGCTCTGCACTTAATAATATAGGAATTTGGATCACTTTACATCAGATGGCTCCTGGCTAAAACCCTGAACCTCTTCTTAGAATTTGGTAACAATTTGCAGTTTGGCCTACATTAAGATGGTCAGAAATCTTAATGTCAGGAATTTTCAAAACTATTTAAACCTAAATTTTATTGTATTTTAAAATGATGTGAGTTGTAATTGGTGCTTTAAATTTCAGGAGCATTACCATGTGAGGATCATCACCCACGTTGTGGTCATTGGGCATCCAAAGGAGAATGCAAGAAAAATGTCAAATGGATGTCGAAACACTGCCGGATTAGCTGTGGCCTGTGTGCTCAAGGTACAGTGTCAACCTTACACATTGGTGTAAGGCAAGTGCTCTCACCCCCACGTCACCCATACTCCTCATCCTTTTTTTTTTCTTGTTTTCTCAAGATATACGTAGTGGCTATAGTGCAATTATGCTACACTCAGGGTTCTCATTAAGTGCCAGCTGACAGCTAAAAAACTGGCTAATTCAATTTCTCAGCCACCTACGTACTTTTCTTGAAATAATATGATTTTTTGTGTGTTAGTTGTATAGTTAGTTGTATAGAGTAATTTAGGGAAAACACTTTTTTGGAATGTGACTGACTCTTGGCTGTCTCAGGACTGTCAAGGCTTTAGATAAAGAGGGGACATGGGGTCAGGGTGTGGTGTATGTTTTCAGTTACACTAGCGCTGTATAAAAATTGAAAAAACTCTTTGTAATCGCTTGATATTCCTGGCAGTTTGACCTTTTCCAAAACTGTTTTTTGTTGGAAATATCTCCAAGAGAATGTGTAAAATAGCATTTCAGAGCATGTCAATTTCCAAATTTTCTAGGGGAGCATGCCCCGAGAACTCCCTTGAGACTTGTCCCTTCAACACTCAAATTGGTGTCAGCCGTCTGCTTCATGAAACTAGTTCTCTACTCCCTAAATTAATGAGAACCCTGTATACTTAAATAATTATTTATTAAATAATTATTTATTAAATAATTCATATCAGCCACCTGTTTTATATCTTGCACAAATTAGCCAATGTCCATGATCTTTATAATCAAGCCAGAATGGAAAAACATGGAGCTTTTCAGCTACTCATCGCCCTGATCATCGTAGTTGTAGTTGGGGTGTTCACCAAGATATACTTTGAAGGACCTTCCTGTCCAAGTTCTGCAAAGTTGACAGGTACATTTTTTTCTTATGATGCATACAGTCAACCCTATTAAGCAGCCACCCTTGGGAAAATGGGAGGTGGCTGCTTAATTTGGGTTGGCGTAATTTTTTTACCATTGGGGTAATTTCTTAGTGAACATGGAATCACATCAAGACAATCATGATAATGTGTGTTTGAATGTTTTTACCACTTGTCACCTATAATTTCTGACTTTTATCCATCATTGCCTTTTCCAAAACAAAGCTAAATGACATTGTACTAACTCTTGGGTGGCCATTTAATAGGGGTAAAGATAATTTGTAAAAATCCTCATCTGGAGGTCCCTGGTTCAAATCCTTCTCTCTACATTTATCTGGAATTGTTCTTGGTAGTCCCAAGTTCAACTCCTTGACTACGTTGTGTAAATAGCCAACTGGTCAGTCTCCTACCACTGTTGTGATTCTTTTAATAGTTTATGTTCTATTTTGCAATTTACCTAGTTATTTACAGTGTTCCCAATTAGCACAACAGCACTAAATACGGTGTTAAATAGAGGTGGCTGGTTAATAGGGGTTTTATTTGAAGTATTTACTGACAGTAATAAATTATACTGTTATTGTCAGAATTCGGAACTTTGATAACTGGCTGCTCAAAAAGGGTTGGCTGCTCAACAGGTGGCCACTTAATAGAGGTTTGACTGTATTTCCAAAAAAAAAGAAACTGTTTAGTCTAGCTCTGTACAGTGTAACAGAGCACAAGAGGGATGGAAGAGCAGGCAAAATAAAATTACATAATATCTTTTTGTTTCAAAAGTAACAACCCCACCCCTGAGCAAATGCTGATCTCCAAAGTGGCAATAAAATTTTACGATTGTTTCCAAGTCCAGAAACTAGCCACTCTAAAGGCTGAAATTAAATTTAATGTGCATAGTAGTGATGGTTTCCCATGTGCCATTAATTTAGTTTAGTTGTGTGTTTATAGGAAAACAGTAGTGACATTTTCACTAATTAAAAGTCAAATGCCCCTCCTCCTCCTCCTCCTCTGACCACCAAACAGTGACACTGAAGATGAAACCCTCCAAAGTTACTGGGTAAATGAGTGTAGCAAATACTTTTGGAACTTTAGTTCTGTCACTCAGCCAGTCACGAGCATCCTGTAAATCACATAATTGTCTTGTGCAATGCCTTCTGTAGGTAAAACTGTGGTGATAACAGGTGGAAACACTGGCATTGGCAAAGAAACAGCACGAATCGTAGCATGGAGAAAGGCAAGGGTAATCATTGGCTGCCGAAACATCACAAAGGGATTACAAGCTGCAGCAGAAATCATAGAAAACACTGGAAATAGAAATGTGGAAGTCAAAAAACTGGACTTATCTTCATTTAAATCAGTGCGGAAATTTGCTGAAGAGATTAATGAGGAAGAAGACAGGGTTGATGTCTTGATAAACAATGCTGGTTACTTTGGACCATATTTGTCAACAGTTGACGGGCTAGAAAACACAATTCAAGTGAATTACCTAAGTCATTTCTTATTGTCTCATCTGCTTCTTGATAAGCTTAAGGCGTGTTCACCCAGCCGTATTGTTAATGTGTCCTCTCAGCAGCATGCTAAGGTGTCACAAATTGATATCAACAAAGTCTTGTCACAGAAGAAGGAGGATTATGGAGTGTTCAAAGTCTATAGCAACAGTAAATTGTGTCAGCTGCTCTCCACCATTGAAATGAGTAAGAGATTAAAAGGTACAGTGATCAGTGGCGACAAATTGGCAATTTATTTTCAAGTTCTTTGTTTGTTATGCAAATTGAAAACTGTTTCAAGCAGTCTGTGTTCAAGCCTTGACAGAGGTCATTATGTTGTGTTCTTGGGCAAGACACTTTACTCTCACAGTGCCTCTCTCCACTCAGGCGTATAAATGGGTACCGGCGAATTTAATGCTGGGAGTTAAGTGTCATCAAATAGCATCCCATACAGGGGGGAGTAGAATTACTCCTAGTTGCTTCAAGCTACGAAAACCAGGACAAGCTCTGGCGGTATGGACAACTTGGCCCAACGCAGACTTTCCCAAAATTTAACCTTACCATATTTTTACATCTTCCTTAGATACTGTAATGTTAGGTTTTTTAGGTTTTCCTCCTGGAAAATAATTCTGT